TAAATATTTATAAACATATATAATTGTATATGAAGTTATATACAATTATTATAATTACATATATAATTATATATATCCACGTATGTTTATTCATTCTTTTTTCTTTTGTAAAATTGTTTTTTAGTGTAATAAAAATATTAATAAGAAAATGTCAAATATAAAATTAAAGGGACAATTTTGACATTGTTAGTTTTAGAAAAAAATCAAGTTTAGAGAAATGTAAAAAAAATTACTCATACACATACATAATTATATATAATTTTATATATAAAAAATTATCAGCAATTTTTTTTATATATTTCTCCAGATTTCTTTTTTAAAACAAATAATGAGAAAATAATAGAGATATAATGGGAAAATTATCATTTTAATTTTTTAAATGTCTTCATTATTGTTATTATTTTTATTGCACTGAAATGTAATTTTACAAAACGAAGAAGGATGTACGAGCATATGTATGTATGGACGTTTTATATATAAGTATATATATTTACGATTATTTATACATCTTTATGTATGTTTGTAGATACAAATTTTATATTCATACATGAAAAATTTTTTATCCGAATTAATATCGTATATAAGTTTTGTAAGCTTCTTTCTTTTAACATTGCGAAAAGTGCTGGATCAAAGCCATAACTAGGGCTGAAGTTTTTTATGTATTTATTGAGGGTTCCAATAGTAGGTAAAGCTAGTATGTTATGTGAACGAAGATGAATATAAGCCTTACGGCTTTTTATTCTTAATAGCAGGCATTCCAGTATCCAGTCTTTTGTATAACGCATTCCACGCTTGTCATTGGAGCGAGCAGATCTCCAACATGCTTTAATCGACTTCCTCAAGGCAGATGGGAAGCTTGTTATTGCTTCGTCGAGAATTTCCTCTTTTTGTGAGGCACATTATACTTTTAAATTCTCTAATTCTACTTTGTATCTCTTCATCTGTAACATATGTCAACTCACATAAGTATGTAATTCAAAAACTGAAATTTAGCTTGTAGGGATTAATAAACGTTTACAAACCTGGTTGTATATCCGTTTGTACTTTTGTTTTACATTTTTCTTGCAAATTTTCTCCTTCGCTTTTCTGACGGCTGCTCTCTTTTCACGTTTACTTTCTCTTACTTTTTTTCTTTTGTTCTTTAATTGGCAATCTTTACAAAGATTGGATCGTGAAAGTGGATTATGCTCAAAGTACCCAATAGTGCAGGACTCTTCTTGGCACATTTTCATTGCACTTATTTTTCGTAATAAAAAATAAATATCTTGTAGGCACGTCACCTTTTCCAAAAGATGATAAGTGACAGGATGATTATAAGCATGTAACTGAAATAAACAAATCAAATAAGCAATAGTACAGGCAGATAAATTCATATACAAAAAAACTTGTAATGTATAAAAGTCCTAAGATACCTCGATAGTCATGTCATTCTTTACAAGTAAAGAACGCTGTACTGTATTGCTACATTGTTCTGAAGTGCTTTCTAAAAGTATGAAAAGTAATCCACACGTTGTTTTTGTCACACCCCATGACCCCATGGATTCATAAGAAGGTCTTGCATTCCACTCCTTTAGTAAAACCGTTGTGTTAAAAATATTTTCTAAAGTGCATTCCATT